CTGTAGACAGTTATTTAGATTATTGTTAATATGTATTAATGACAGTTTGTGATTACTGTATTAGATAGTGAGGTATATTACTCACAGATTTTGCATAGTGCTAGAAGGCACTATATACGTGTATGGTCCTTATACAAGTTTTTTATAGTGCAAGTTGACAGATACAGTCACAATTTAGAATTTGGTTTATTCCGAAATTTGTGAATTTATTTGAGATCTTTGACGTGTTAACAAACGTGTAGCCACAATGGCTTTAATGACAGTTGATCATTGGTTTTGGGTTGTTGGATTTAGATGTTTTAATTAGGTATACGGTGCCTTATTGATGTCTTGAAGGCAGTTAACATCGTAAATCAGCAGCGAGGTTGAGAGCCGAGGACGGATGTTGGGTATATTTGAACCTAAGAGGTTTCTGGCATTAATGCCATCGGCATCGTGGCCGCTATGACATTGGCATCGTGGCCGTCATATGTACCTGGATGCATCGCGAACTGGCTTCATTTTTTCATTTTTTCACTCATTCTTTGTACCAGATGTACTTAACGCTTTTCCAATAAACGCGGGCTGCTGGCTCCAATTTAATCCTATAATATATGTGATATTATGTTGTGTGGTTTGTGGTGAAGACTGTTTAATTAGGAAATAATGAATATTCTTGCAATATTTCTCAACAACGAATTTGTATTCATGGATTAGTTGTATGAATTGGTCTGAGGAAAGAGTCCGAACAGTTTAATGTGACCGTAACACCTCTATTTCATTAGACATCCTTTTATCATGCTAACAGATTTAACACTTTCCGATAATTATTAAAGAATTACATTGGATAGGTCTATGATTGTGCACAGCTAGTTGTCGTAAATGAGAGAAATAGTGAAGGAGTTGGTAGTGTCAGAAATGATATCTAAAATATTGCAAATTTATTTGAATAAAATAAACAATTCGAAATAATGTTTAAAAACATCAAACCAGAAATAATAGAAAAATGGTACACATTGCAGAAAAAAATATCCAAAAATGTCACGCATTAAACAAGAAAAATAGAACATCAAATCAAATGTAGAAAACCTCAAATAAGAAATAATATGTCAAATAAGAAAATAACATTAATACCCAGTTCAATTTTTTCTATTTGTACTTTAACAGTATTCTGCAGTTCGAACTCTTGTTCATTTTCTTGTTCGAATTTTTCATATTCTCTTTTCGTTTCTGTAATCCAAAACTTTGAACATTATTGTGGTATTACAATCATGAACATTACATATAGAAATTATGAAGTAGATCTCCCCAAAGGCGGGCCCAAAGGTTGATCGATAACTCGGAGGTTTCAGGATATACATGCAGACTGCAGGATAGAGCTCCAGACTTAAACTGCTCTACAATCCGAGACACGACTATCATAGAATAGGGCAAATTAGAAGTTACTCACTCAATAGCTCTTATTGAATGGATTAAATGAACTTAATGTTGGAATTAGAATATGCTCATTTTATAGCATCAATCTCCCGAACGTCCGGAATTAAATAAAGAGCCGTAAAGGTTGGAGTGAGAAAACAAACCTCGGATTAGGAGATAATTATAACATATGGACTTTTTACACAAGTTAGTCGAAATAGTTTAGATAACCTTATACACTACTGGGCAATTACACAATACGGACGTTTATTTTTTCTAATATATCCCATTGGAATTACAGAAGTACACGAGTAAGTTCAAATCGTTTGGATAATCTAATACGTCGCTGGGAGATTACACGCTACGGTTACAGTATGGACGTTTAATTTTAATATGTACAATATTGAAAAAATTGGAATTAGTGCACTGGTTAGTTAAAATGATATGGATAATTTAGCATGACGCTGCTCGGTCGATTACATGGTTGCTACTGTACTATTATTAGGATTTTAGATTTTTGATTAAAAAGTATTACAGACAGGACCATATACATATTTGTAGGAATATCATAATCTTCAATCGTAAAGTAAGTTGAAATATTTACTTAATTTCAAGCCTATATGAACATCTTTACTATATGAGAAATATATTCATAAATATGAAAAATCTAGTCAAGTCCAGCCATGCGACAAATTAGCCTACGGAAGTAGATAATGTATATTATCTTAAGTAGCCATTATTGTAACGGTTTAATATATTGGACAAATAAAAGCGACGATTGTGTTACTCAAGGGAATAAGTCATTGTTACAGGAACAGGTACCTTATTTGTGGTAAACTATACGGATAAGTTTAAGAGTTTGCTCAGTAGATTCATTTAGTTGTCCATAGTATGACTCCAGAATATAAAGTATCCGTAGCAGAATATAGCGTAGTGCAGCAACATTTTACTGTTTAACCAATATTTAAGAAGGAATTCATATGTCTTGATTTTTTTGAAAATACCGTTTTCTGAAAACTGGCTTTTCGGTCGAAATATGTCTCTCATCACAAGGGGTCAAAACCGTTATCATTTTCATTCGAATTCTCACACGTTTTAAAAATATGTAACACAACGTCAAAAGTGCCTCGCCTTCCCAAAAGTCAAGTTACCATAGTAACCATTAATTGTGACCAATCAAATCAGAGATGCTCATATTTGAGGAATCAATAGGAAAATATTTTTAACACCAAATGTAAAGTTTTATGAAAAAATATCAAAAATCATTGAAAGGAGAGCATTTTCCGCGAACTTATTTAACGACCTTGGATATGAATATACCTGTGAAAGAACTGATTCATAATGTCTAAGGACCTGCGTCTTCAATCACAACTGATTCATAATGTCTAAGGACCTGCGTCTTCAATCACAACTGATTCATAATGTCTAAGGACCTGCGTCTTAAATCACAACTGATTCGAAATGTCTAAGGACCTGCGTTTTAAATCACAACTGATTCATAATGTCTAAGGACCTGCGTCTTAAATCACAACTGATTCATAATGTCTAAGGACCTGCGTTTTAAATCACAACTGATTCATAATGTCTAAGGACCTGCGTCTTAAATCACAACTGATTCATAATGTTTAAGGACCTGCGTTTTAAATCACAACTGATTCATAATGTCCAAGAACCTGCGTTTTAAATCACAACTGATTCATAATGTCTAAGGACCTGCGTCTTAAACCACAACTGATTCATAATGTCTAAGGACCTGCGTTTTAAATCACAACTGATTCATAATGTCTAAGGACCTGCGTTTTAAATCACAACTGATTCATAATGTCTAAGGACCTGCGTCTTAAATCACAACTGATTCATAATGTCTAAGGACCTGCGTTTTAAATCACAACTGATTCATAATGTCTAAGGACCTGCGTCTTAAATCACAACTAATTCATAATGTCTAAGGACCTGCGTCTTAAATCACACCTGATTCATAATGGGTAAGGACCTGCGTCTTAAATCACAACTGATTCAAAATGTCTAAGGACCTGCGTCTTAAATCACAACTGATTCATAATGTCTAAGGACCTGCGTCTTAAATCACAACTGATTCATAATGTCTAAGGACCTGCATCTTAAATCACAACTGATTCATAATGTCTAAGGACCTGCGTCTTAAATCACAACTGATTCATAATGTCTAAGGACCTACGTCTTAGTAGAACATAAAGCCTTCACCTTGAGCTTAATTTATTTGGTGTTTTGATGTGAACGTATGATAAACTCGACAAAATCTATGTTTACCTCTTCTTCCCACTAGCCACTTGAGATCTAAAAGTATTTGTTCACATAAATCAGTTATACTAGTGAGAATGAGCCTCTGGGAATACTAACCTAGACACATGCACTTAATAAGTAATACTTGGCTTATAGATTATTCATGAACAGCCTGTTAAACTTACCACCTCGATCCCATTTTGACGACAAGCGCGTATATTTGATTGGATTATGCCATTAGGGGGAACTTTTATGATTGATGTTAAGCGTTTAACTTTCCATAATCATGATTAATAGGAGATGATCACTTGGTATCGATATAAATATAAGCTCTACAAAATCATTGACAAATTCAATAGGAATGCTAATTTCTCCTTCAAGAATAGATCAGATGCGAGTAGAAATAATCTTGATTTACGTCAATAAATATTCAAAATTCAGTCAAAGTGATATCATCTCTGAAATCTACATGCAAAAGTACATCTAGAAATATGATTTCGAAAATTGTTTATCAACTTTGAATATTTTTGAAAATGTGACTTCTAGTTCAGGTTGATTCCCCTTAGGTCCCTTGTTATTAAATCACAAAAAGTCATATCATTTCTAGTATATTGGACAGATAACATTTTTTTACTGGACATATTTTAATTTGCATAACTATTAGATACACACGGGTGATATGAAAATTAAACCACTAAAACAGATGAATATTCAAGTTAAAGGGAATTTCCTTCTATACCCGCCACGCTGTACATAAATCTGATCCGAACGAGCCACATGGTGGTGAAACTGGTAACTACCTAATCGCATCTGAGTTATTCCGCGCTTGCCTTATACAATTGCCCCTTTTGAATATCGGGCCATGAGGCACCGGGACAGATGCTTCATGGGCATGTGACGTGTATTCGAGAAAGCATTTCCTATATAGTAATTTTGAATGCAGGAAACAATTCTACTCTCTGTGGCAATTTCTATCAGGAATTTTTTAAAATTGACAAGTGGTTTAAAATGAGTTTTGTTCGATGGGAGCTGTTACTCCGGGACGTTGCTTTAAAACAATACAATGAACCATACAAGTCAAAAATAAATGGGTTATCCGATACGAGAACCATTGAACACGTTATATGCCAAGAATTGATACTGGCTTTTGTCTGGCTGAAAATATAGTAATTAATTAAGATTAGGAGTTCCTGTGGAAACGACCTTATCCATAATGTTACAGCGTAATCACTATTTTACTTAAAGTGTTTGCAAAGAACAACATTTTAGTTGTAGATTCTTCTTCTACCTTAAAAACTCTTCATAGACTTATGTTAACTAATTCAGATGACGTATACTTTCAGATTCCACTACTTTGAGGTGCCGATAAGAGGTAACATCCGGGATACTAAGCATGGACAATACGCAGACGACACCACCTATAGTGATGACGACAACAGCTCCGTCAATCGTACTCGAAAAGCCAAAAACTCACATGGGGACAGCAAAAAATGAGCACAACATTCGGAAATCGCAACGAGTTTCATTTGCTGAAAAAAGATTGTCAATGGAGGACAACGATGATATTTTCTCAATTCCCGATAAACGACAAATATTTGTTGTGATAATTGTTGGTGTATGTGTACTCGTAGGAGGGTTGATATTAACGTTAATTGTAGAGGTGATTATAGAGGCCACGAATGATACGGAAACTCAGCCAAGAAATACTATGTTTACAACACAAATTAAACCTTGACATACGAAGGAACACATCTTATTTTACTTTTCACCACGAGTGTACAATTTGGCTTCAACCCCGACACAAATCAGAATACGATTTACTGATGATTTGTAAGCCATGCTGTACATAACTAGATTGCAAAACGAGTATATTATACATAAGATCATTGAAACTGAAGTTCATTGTATTCGGCTATATTCGGATACGATCACGTAAGTTATATTCTATTGACTGTGGCAGAAGAGAACGTGTTTAATTCGTGGAAAAGAATTAGCATCAGTAATAAGGTGTACTATTTGGAGTATGTATTTTACTCGGTACACCTAAGAGACTTAAAGAGTAAAACAAGAGGAAATGAAATGCACATGTATGTACCTATTGCATGTGCACTATGAGTTTTAACAGTCAAACGAGCATGAATGAAAATGCATCTTTCTTTAGAGACTGTTGGATGAGAATGAGCCACCAATGAGAGTCAAACAAATAAAGGGAGTGTGGTAATTGTTTGAAGATAGTCATGTCAAATTCCTGTAGACTTTTTTGTTTATAAACATTAAGTGCTTTAATGCTACTGTAACAGAACTGTTCGATGAGGTGGGATGGAGCTTTGGGTGGTGTTGGTTTGAGATAATTCAGCTACATCATATCTAAACAATAATCACAAAATGGCGAATGAGTAATAATTTTATATTTCAAAAGATTTATCTCAATGTACAATGCAAAATTTTGAATCGACCGGGAGCATATTGAAATATGATGTTCAGGTTGTTGAGAAATTTTCAAAATGTTCTAACTACGCTTTGCGCATGACGGAAACCACTCACATGTAGCACATGTAGTTTTACAGAAAACATGTCGAGTCTGTTCAAATGTTTGTACATGTAACTGATAAGTTAGATAATTAAGATATATGCATCATTCGGAATAAAAATCAATTTATTCAAGATAAATAATTCAAATTATTTTAACATCTACTGTGAAGCACATAATACACACGTGCATGTGCTTTTCGCACTGAATACAACAATTTGACTTGAAGTATATGTCTTCAATGGATTTTAAGTTTAAACAGCTCGTTACCATTATGGCAGTTGGAAATATAAAGAAGAATGTGTAGAAACAGCAATGTTTGCCTTTGGAACGATCGATGCATTTATACCAAGCAATTATGAATATTTATATCTCGTATGTCTCTCTATTTCTAAAACGTCAAAGGAGTCGAGAAATTCCCATTTAGTTAAGTGATACACGTAATATCAGACAAGCAAAAAACAAGAGTCAGTTCATAGAAACAACCGAGCGCTGACATTATGAATAAAGACAATGTTGGGATAAAGGAATAAGAGGGTCCATGTTTTTCTATGAGTTGTTGGATATATTTGAAAGATCGAAGTGGTAGCACTTAGCCGTTTCTCTGGATGAACGCATTCATTACTTAAGCGTCTTCCAATCTCCAATTAATCAATGTTCTCACTAAGTCTTATTATACACAACCAGAAGGCCAAACACTGATGCATTACTGGATCTGAAGAGAATTGGCAAATCAAATTAGTTTTACGTTATTCATGAAAAGTTCCATTATTGTTTAACCGAGTTGTTGAGAAAGAGACCCTTACTCCTCGTTTGATAACGATTAAGATTGGGTGAATTAAATCGTCCACAATTACAATTCATTACGTCCTGGGCTTTTATCTTTTATTCACACAAAGCTAAGCACGATAAATCACCTCATGGTCAAGCAGAACCAGGTATAGCCATTTCATTTTCAAACGATAAATTATTATTTTGACCTCTGGAGCCCCCTATTCATGTATGTACTAATGTACTAATGTACTAATATATAATTTGAATGGATTTAATTAATTACAAGTTGTGTCATTTAAACGTATGTTTCCTGCTTTTTGGTAAATAATATAATTACAAATTTAAACATGTGTAATGGTAAAAACGTTAATCAACTAGAAAAACAGCAACTCCACGGAGAACCAAATTCAACCGAACAAAACATGTTTTGGTAAATAGCGGCCATATAAAATTTGAGCCAAATCCATCCACTGGTATTTGAATTATCAAAGATTGTGTTTTATGAAACATGGTTGCCATTTTGAAATTCAGCTGTCATCTTTAGATTTCTTCTTTAGCAGAGCTCCTATGTCCCAAGGCATCAGCATATACAATTTAATCCAAATCCGTCAACTGGTACTCGAGTTATCAAGGATTACATGTTTAATGAAAAATGGCGGAGATTTCGATAAATAGCAGCCACCTTGAAAATTTCTTCTCAAGCAGAGCTCCTTTATCTCTAGGCATCAGTACATAAAATTTGAAGTAAATCCGTCCAATGGTATTTGAGTTATCAAAGATTACCTTTTTGATGAAAAATGGCAGCCATTTTGAAATTCAGCTGACGCCTTTGAGATTTCTTCTGAAGCAGATATCCTATTTCTCTAAACATCATGATATAAAATTGGAACCAAATCCATCCACTGGTATTTGAGTTATCAATGATTATGTTTTTTACGAGAAATGGCGGCCATTTTGAAATTCAGTGGCCATCTTGAAAATCCCTTCTCGAACAGAGCTTCTATGTCCCTAGGCATCAGCATGTAAAATTTGACCCAAATCCGTTCAATGGTATTTGAGTTACGAAAAATGGCCGCCACTTTGAAATATGGCGGCCATCTTGAAAATGTCTTCTTCGGCAAGGCTCTTTTGTACCCGGGCAACAGCATATAAAATTTGAACCAAATCCATCCACTGGTATTCGAGTAATCAAAGATTATATTTTTTCCCAAAAATTGCCGCCATTTTGAATTTAGCGGCCATATTGAAAATTACTTCTCGAGCAGAGGTCCTACACCCATAAGGTATAAGCCTATAAAATTTGAATGAAATCCGTCAACCGGTATTTGAGTTATTGCCCGGACACACGAACGGACGGACGGACGGCTTTTCTATATCCCCCTCGAACTTCGTTCGGTGGGATAACTATCTAGTGTACAAAACGATTCTACAGTATTCCCGTCGTTCAGTTTTGGAGATACATCTTGTAATCCTCTATTCTTCTGTAACCCAACACGGGAGATTGAAATGTTTTTAGCCTTGTTTATAAAACAAACTCGGTGACAAGTCTTTTTGCTTCATTATGAAACCTAGTTGTGTAATGATCATTTTAATATAAAATTATATCTACTTGATCGTAAAATCATTTATGCTTCCGCCCTTAAGCAAGGAAGCAAGTCAAAGTTAATTGGTGATTGGATTTAGTTGTTTGATTACAGCATTGACTCATTTTCTTCTTGTGCCCCGTCCTCCTTTAGTGGAGCTTGAATAGATGTCGCTGTGTCCATGGCATAGTCCTGATCATACTTAGCTCTGAAATCAGGACATTTAAATCTACAATATGTAAAAATATCAAAATTGTCCGAAGCAGGCGTAGGGTGCAGTAGACCGATTCAATAAAAGGCAAGTCTCGGTTTGGAGAACAAAGTTCATCAGTCTACTGCGACATTTAAGTCTTCAATATGTAGACTGATGAACTTCGTTCTCCAAACCGAGACTAGTCCTCTGTGATATTTCTGAAACAAAGACGTTTTTTGGTCTTCAAATATATCCAATTAATGTCAATAAAATGTGAATGAGTATTCATTCTATAGCGACGGAGTATGCATTAAATATGTCCCCGACCTATATAATTTGAAATTTATAGTAAAAATTAATGTGATAACTCACGTTCCAAATATTTCTGCCTCTTGAAGGGTATCTGGTAGTCTCCGGTTCTTCGTCTCGGGAAGGCAAAGCACAAGGATTCCACCTAGAATTGCTACAACTCCTAGTACTATGTAGGGTAGTCCATACCAAATATCACCCTTTATGGAATCACAGATAATATATGCTTACAATTTATTGCGGTAAAGATATATTCAGTAAATATATTACATAGGGCACTCGACTTGTTTTAGCTTTGTGTTATATAAAAAGACACATGATATCAAAATGTGTACAAATTGACGTAAGTTATCGTCTTCTATATAGAACAAAACATGATATCGTGTTTCATATTTTCAAATCTGTCGTATTATGAACCGTCGTACATGGTTGTTAGGGTGACCCAGCTAACCATACGGACGATGGATGTGTTTACTTCACATTTTGCGATTTTCAAAAAACACTCGGTTAGATGTTACAGAGGAAAGATTAAACAATTTCTGGAAATCGAGATTGTTGAACTTTTTGAAGGTACTGTATCAATTGTGTACTAACCAGTAGCGGAAGCTGTGGTGTGATAAGGCCACCTAGTCTAGATAAACTAGAACCACTACCCATGCCAACACTCCGTGCCACTGTCGGAAACAGTTCTCCCGAGAAAAGGTACACTAGACACCATAAGTTGGTCACCAGCATAGCACCTATCAGACCCAGGGCAGTAATTATACCTGGGATACCTGATATAGAATAATGCAATAAGAAATATCAGTTAAAACGGTGACAGGTGACAGTCGGGATGTCTCAAAAATATCTCCAAAAGTATTTTTTGCAGCAAAGATAAACCAATCACTAGTTTCAGACAATTTTGCGTGATATACGTTTTCTCCCCAATTTACAGTTTTTAGTTCAGTCTTGCATAGTCGACCTTACTTTTTACACTACCGATACTTGATTCACTGTGGTAGTTCTGCCTTTGTCATCAATAGCAGAACTATGCGTAAATGATATAGATTATTTTTTATACAAAATATTGAAAATATTTTGTATACACAATCACTTTTAATAAAAAATTATATTGTCAAGTGTACATTTGAAGAAAATAGTTCAGCATTAATTGGAAAATTAAATTTTTTTTTATTTTAAAGAAACTCTCACTTCCAAGAGTTTGGAAACCTTACATGTAGCTCCCTAATTGAACTACGTGTTAAAGCCTCTTTATGACTTCATTTACAATGCCTAACTTTTGGAGGGAGGTAACTAAAGGGAATGCTACTACTAAGACACCACCTTGTCTTAATCAATTTTTGATAAATGGAGATTTCTGTTACTGATGTAGTTAAATTAGTATCATGCAATATATGACGTTTGAAATCTAGTTGTTGAGCAAATCCACCCATGGTGCACAAAATATCATAAAATTCTGAATAAACTGATTCAAATCAAATGATATATCAATTTATCGGAATTAGATATCAAGAGGTATATCAATCTACATCCACAGTTCTGCTATTATATTGAGAATGAAATGTGAATGTGTACTTCGAATTCTTTATTTGACCCATCCTGCAAAATATGTATATAAAATTGTATATATTCAAATGAAATAGGTCAGCCTTACTATCCAAAATAACTCTGATTTGGATTTGTGATGTTTCGCCTGCTTTCGGAGGCGCGCTAGTTGATTAAAAATCTTACGAGTTATAGATGTCAGTGTACCCACCTAGTAACATCAATGGAGCCATGGCAATTACACATACACCAGCAATTATAAACCAAGTAGTCACAACAATCCTTCGCTTCATTTTGAATATGGCAATGTATCCTGTCACGAAGCCTCCGAGCTTTAACGGAAAAACAATAAAATATTAATAAGGCGAGTCCCTATGTTATATAAGGTCTATTATATAAAGAAACATGCATTTTTTTGTACCCAAAATTCTGATTGGCCACATCGGCATAACGGATGTTGTTTCATTAAAGTTTTAATTTTCAGATGGATTTGTATGCGGTGTCTTACTTGTTGAAATAATTCTAAGACTGAAATGTCTGAAATGAGGGAAATCACAGAAGCAAGCTAATTTAAAATGATTGGCTAAAGGATATATTCCACTGATCTATGAAACGAGGTATTTATTACTGAACGACTTTATCGCTAATCAAATTGATTCATGCAAACCCTTCATTCGTTTGGTAACCAAAAGTTCCCATTGTAAAAGTTCCCACATTGGTTCCCATTTGAAAGTTCTCATTAGAATGATCCACACAAAAGTTGGAAAGTGTGTTTTAGTCTATGTTAAAATCGTGTGTTTCTTATTTAAAAAGGGTCGAGATTAATGATGAATATTTTTGTTACCATTCATTGCGATCGATAAACAGTCCTGAACCAATTAATGTAATTTTTAAAAGGGAACTTCTGTTTGGCATGTTTAACCTTTGGAGGGAAAGTGTTACAAAAGACATCTCCAATAAACGCTGCCACCTTTTGTAATATAAAATAAGCTAAAATATATTGGCGAGATTGATGATGTCATATACATGTACGGTAGGTTGTACTTTTTCAAAATTAGCAATAAGTTAATCCTATTTTGCTTGGTCTTAAACGGGACTTTTACTTGGGCAGATTGCTACTATTGGAATCATCCATCATTGCCTGGTGTGCCAAACAGTGCGAGGTTTTGTCGGAAATGTCTATTGCAACTGTATGATACATACCTCATTCAAACACGTCATTGAGAGCATATTCAAATACACATCACCAGGGATGATTTTCTCAACATTGAGGTCAATTCCAAAGGCAAGGAAAATCATTGTAAACCTTGAAATAAGATTGGTTGGAATTATGTCAAAATATTACATGTCAAATTAGTACAACAACGAGGTCATATGCAAACGAGACATTTAATAGATATGAAGTGGAACACAGAAAAAGCGTGGTGTAAGTAAACGAATTCAAATATGCCGGATGTAAATGTAGTCCAAGAAATGTACAGAGAGTGAGTACCAAATTATCATTTGTCCGCCATCAGAGTGTGATCCTCTCAACCTCATACTCTAAGATTAGAATAAACAGTAACAATAATCCCCTTTTACTCCACTGCACGTGCACATTCAAAAACGTTGTCAAATGGCACGTTTTCCGGTGAGCAAACGTCCCACGGAATAGGATCTTGATAGTTCGATGAATCGAAATCACTATACTTACCACATACAATATGTTAAAATTGTTCGTTTCCTGAGACGTGGGGTTCTGAATAAATCCAGTATTGTTGCATTCGTCTTGCCATTGTCTTCGTTTTCCTCACATGTTTTGTTTTCGTAGTATGCCTGACATGGAAAGGTCAACAGAGTGACTCAAAATATGGCAAAGAATTTAATTGGACAGGTTTAATAGAATACATGTCAAGAATCTTTTGCAACTGAAGGTTAATGGACAGTTAAGGTCGTTTTTAAACAATCATCAACAGCTTTTGGTCCAAACTTCGAAAAATCTAAAAAATATATATTATATGAAATCGGAATAAATACACTGAAATGACTAAAGTCATATTGGATTATTTAAAGAAAAACATGTACTTCTCTATATTTATCCAAGTTAAAGTCTTCGGAAAGTTTTACACGGTTGATACGAGCGATCTTCTTACACACGGCTTCTGCCTCGTTCCAACGCCCAGTTGCCATCAGCCAGCGCGGGGACTCGGGTAGGAAACTAAAGAAAGGAAAGGGAGACTAAATACAAAAACTCCAGTCAGCAAACGATGTGACTCTGCTAAGAGACTAGTGGAAGAAATCATTTTTGAGAGATTGTACAAATTACTGACTCGATATACTCACAATACCACTATCAATCCTGGTAGTAGACATACAGAGGCAGCGATCTGAAGATGTATATGGTTTCGTATGAAATAAGCTAGAAACACTAAACCACCTTTTGCCAAGCGCCCCATCATAATAATATAAAATGCCTTGGACCTGGCCTCCTTGGACATGGCCTCGAGATCTACAAATCATTAAACATAAATTGTATCTATCCATCCATCGATCGATATGAAGTCATTACAGTGCAAAAGGAAATTTTGTTCCCCAGGAAATGCAGTCCTAATTTGTATTGATAAATATCCGTTTCACTTTGACCAATTATCCAAATTGGGGAACAGTGTAAGTGTAAGGGGATCTGATATAAAATATACCAAAGCACCAAGTCAACAATCAATATTACATGTACAACGACGACGACGATGACATAAACTGAAATTGGCTTCATGATTTGGAAATTGATAATATGTATTAGTTCCCAAAACTAAACATATATGGATAGGTTGAACTGCAAAACGTATGTACCGCATAGGCAATGAACACCGCACTTACTGTAGGCATAAAGCGTCGTATATGCGCCCAATCCTGATGCCCCAACAAGCCCACGAAGAACGAGGAACGCTGCATAGTCGGGGACCACAGCTGCTCCCATGGTCGTCAAAAAGTGAAGAGCGAACATTATAAAACAAGTTCGTTGCCGCCCAAATCTATTTGAAAAAAGAAAAATTAAAAATTATTTGACAATCAAGAAAAACTAAAGATTGATCGAAGCGACATATGACACAGTGTATGAAGAAAGAAAACTATTTTTATATTATTTTGTATCATCTCGAGGCACGCCTACTCACCCACCCCCTAAGTAGGCTTTATTTTGAGAAATTCGATAGCGAAAGGGGATTTCAAATCTATCAATAAAGGAGTATACAATTGCTGACCTATCTGCCAAAGCTCCGGAACAGAACGCACCGCAGAACAGTCCCGCCATGAATGCCGACGCTGCCAAGGTATACAGCCATTTCCGGTCGCATACCAAATCATACTACAAAATGTAAAAATAAATTTATACATGCAAACTGTTTAGGATTTAATACCATACATTTAAGATTTAAAACAGTAAACATTGAGAATGCAAATATGCTATTTAAAAAAAATTGAATTAAACATTTTCAGCCCTATAATGACCTGGATATTGAAAAAATTCCCGCTAATATGTCCCTGAACCGTCGTCGAGTGTAGAATACATCGGGGTTATGTACTGGGAGGTTTTGGATAAGGGAATATTCCGAGTGATATACAATATATCCAAAGGAAGATATATTGTGTATCCTAAGCGGAACTTTCTGTATCAAATCCTACAGTGCATAACTGTAAGTTGTATTCCATACCTGATGAGGTTTGAAATAATAAGCAGATCGAAAAGGCCGGGGTTCCTACTTAGTGGCCAATATCTTTCATTATTATATCACTATCTAGCTAGCGACAGTATGATTGGTCAAAACCGGGTCACATGTCGTGGGATATCTGGCGATATTCAATGGCAATGCTAATCAGATAAGACAACCGTGAGATATCTAGCGATATCCCACGCTCCCGGGAATTTTCAAAGAATTTGTTTTCGTTCAGTGTAACTAATTTAGTTCAGTGTAAGTCAAAATTGCAGACGAACCGAGTAGATTCAATGTATTTCAATGTAACCTATGACTTAATGATATTAGGGATGTTTAGCTAGACAGTGATATAATAAAACAAATATTTCACTCTATTTTCGGTGAATACCTGTAGCACTTTCACAAGGTGATATTCCACTTGCCCTTCGTGGAATATCACTTCGAAAGATGTACAGGTATTCACCTCAATAGAGTGAAATATTTGTTCAGTACTTGAACATCAAAACGAGTTTTTCTTGCGGTATGTTCATTTTCTGTGTTTACTAAGAATTCATCCACATTACTTGATGTTTTAAATCTTAAATGTTGTTAACTCCGTTCATTTTGCACCTCTGTCTCTTGTTTAGTTCAGTGTTGAAATAGTGACATGAATTCCAGGGGCCGGATCCAGAACGGCTCATGCGGGACATACGATTTACATGTCCCGGATCCTCGTTGGAGCGGGATTAACGGAAAATATTTGCCCGGATATGGAATATATTCCCGGTTGATATGTCTCTGAAACCTGATCATCGGGTAAGGAATACATGTTCATCTTTTCCTCAGTATATTTCCCGCGTCCCGGAGTGCTCTGGAATGGGTTATAAGACGTGCAGTTCTTAAAGGCCCCATATAAAGTTTAAACCACTTTGGCTTATATTGTAGTCTTACCCAATGTTATCAAAGTGTGATATGTGAAACTTTTTTTTTAAATTTCAAAAAGTGGTTTTTGATAGACTTTTTGTTCCAAAATTTGTGAATTTATTTAACACCAACTTTTAGAGGTCACTCATATCTTCTAATTAGCCACAATTCATACCAATGCGTAGCATTCATCCTCCCATGTTTTTTGCCGAAACAATTAAAAAAATCGGTTCATAAATAAGCGAGAAATGAACTTATCAGTGCATGAAAATGGTTCTGAGAAAAATGGATTTCAAAATTTTAGTTCTCATAGAAACCAATGGTAAAATGATATCTAAAACATAATTTATTCTTCCTTTTAACCTGGTTAGACAATCAACATTGGTTTTTTATGAAAGTCTAGCATATTTAGAAAAGATTGACATCGAAAAAAAAATTTCAATTTTTTTCAAAAAGTTTTTGGTACCTTAGTGACATCACTAATGTTTCAAAATATTTTTGATATGCTAAAACATTGAAGTGGCCCATTAATTATGGCATTTTATTATTGAAATAGTGTGTCCTTTGTTCAATCTTTGCATTGGTGTTAAAAAGATAATCTTTTTTGAAATGCACTAAGAAATATTTGATGATTAAGAAATTTCAACTTTTTTTTAAAAATGGCGGGAAATTTGAATATTTGTGAAATGAAATGCTCACAACTTTTTTTTCAAAAAATTTTTTTTGTTCAAAAATCTCTAAAATCACTTTTTAAGTCCTGACAAATAGTAAATGAATGATAAAAAAATATTTTCAAACTTTAGACGGGGACTTTAACCGTTTTTAAAGTCCGTTTACGTATAAATAACTTAAGGTAAAAAACGACGATTCTGTTGTCTTCTGAATCATTTGTCGGAACATGTACATTATCTTAGATATATGAAACTGGCACATGTTTGTGATAAACATGTAATGGGAAATTCTGCCTAGAAAAATCGTACCGTTTAGGTTCAAACATTTTGTTACCAAAACGGTGTTACCGAAACGGTCCCTTTCGGGTATAACTGTCGTTATCGAGTGGCGTGCCAGTGATCATACATGAGTTGTCTACCTTGCCCACAAATGTCGTTTCACCTTTTAGAGATAGTATCATATTTATATTGTTTACCTTACTTACAAGTGTTGACGTGAATCTGCTTGTATCATATATAAATTCTTTACCTGGCTTACAAGTGTTGACGTGACGAGCGCTGACGTGAACCTGCTAGTATCATATATGAAATGTTTACCTTACCTGGCTTACAAGTGTTGATGTGTACCTGCTTATATCATATATGAGTTGTTTACCTGGCTTACAAGTGTTGACGTGAACCTGCTAGTATCGTAGACATATCCGTTGCATTTCCTTGTACTGGTGTTGCCATTAGGGATCCAGTTAGTCACACCTTCCGCTGTGACGCTGGAGTAGTTGAGATCATAGACCCTGCATTGACTGTACATGGCTTCTCCGAACTGATTTTCCTCGAGGGGAACAGCTATGTGCATAAATGTTGTGTGGTTGAGATGGGCTAACTCTGGCACATGACACCAATGTTGCATATGAGCGGCGATGAATACTGTAATATTGTACTGCCATGCAGTTGCAGCATAGAACAATAAGAATGATATTACGGCAAGCGCTTGATATCTTCCGTCTCCTCCTAACTCTGGTATTAGGTCGTCAAAACCCATTTTTAATTTAATATTTTCCATGGCGCTGAAGTATTCTGAGTGTGTATTTACTAGTTAAACTCCACGTGTGTGGAAAAATGTCTTAAAATTCATTTATATCGCCCTATTCTTCGCATAATACAATGTATTGAAAACGTTTTGATTATAATATAATGAGATGTAAAATTTATTGAAAAACTTTTGAAAGTAAAATTAGATTAAAAGTTTATGGATGCAACTTTATAGTTCATATTCATGTATAATGCATTCTGACATGCAATCTAGATGGTAGTTTCGAAGAATGCCATAGTTATAGATTACAGTACACCATACATGTCCTTAGTCGCAGCAGAGAGATTGTTTTGAGTACAGCAATTGTCAATTTTATCCGTTTTTAAAGAACATGAAAACAAATATCAATTTGCTATTTCACTCTATTAGCTATTTGCATTTGGTGTTCATGAGCAACCCAATTGGCTTATAATAATGATTCTGTTATTTTTTTTTATTTGTCTGTTTCTCATGAATGGTTTATCGGATGACTGTTAGAATGTTAATAAGGTACATGTACTTTCAAAAATATACTTAACAATACCATTAGACAAACAGAGTATCTTATTCATTTCTAGGGTTAGGTATAATAGAGTGTATTTACACATTTGGAAGATTTAATAAATTGAGTGAAAGGACTATTGGAAACTGTATACACGTATTCGTTAAGCAAACAATCTAACAGTGACCCCTTGGTCAATCAGTTTTCACTGTATTTCATTTGCTTTTTTGACAAACGTTACATTACAAATAAGAGTACTGAACTCCTTAAATACAGGTACTAATGGTCATAATTATATGACATGAACAAGCGCAAATAAGACAATCAAAGACGATAACTTATTTACTATACAGGTACTCTTCATTGAAATGATCATGCCCATGTGACATATAAACAAGCGAAAATAAGCCCTTCGACTAAAATGTTACAAGAGTACTTATTTATTATACCTGCCAGACGTAAATTTATTCTCCCTGAATATATGGTCCGGGAGACCATACACCCTAGGGTGTTTGGTCTTAACCGGACCATATTTTCTGTATTGGTAAACATATAGGACTATATAGGACTATATATACTGACGGACTATAAATACGTTGACATATCTGTTATCTATATTTTCAAATGTATAGATGTCGTACTATAGTAGTACTGTAATATATAATTTGATGAATTAAAAATCTGCTGGCTTCCCATCACCATTAGTATAATGGATTAAACAGTCTTCTGGCCGTTGCCTTTGCTGTGGATCGACTCCTACTCTATCACACCAAACTAGTTCTCACTACGTTCTCGAAAACGAGCTTCAACTGTGTACGAACTGACTGGACGTACTTAGAACCGTTTGGGGTCTATTTACAAACTTCATCGAACGTATTTGAACGGGTAGGTCCCCTAGAACTTAGAACATGCTCAAAATGCTCTCATGGTCGTCACGTTCTACAATTGGAACGAGTGACAACGTACTAACGACGAGCTGGACGTAATACGAACGGAACCGTCGTACTTCAATCCTGCTAGGGACGTTTTTACAACGAGTTGAACTGTCTGAGGACGTATTGAGAACGAGGTAGAACTAATTGCAAACGGGTTCAAACTGATTAAGAACGTATTTAAGACTGCTAATGAACGAGTTAGCAAAAATAAAGCTATCACACCAAACAAGTTGCCACTGCGTTCTTCAAAACTGGTTTTAAACTGTGTGCCAACGGAATGAACGTAATTGCAACTTTCTAAGGACTATTAACGAACTTCATGAAAGTTCTCAGACGGAAAGGTGATTTTATATTTTTGAAATGATTCAAAAATCGATGGCGACCATACCGTTCTGTAATCAGGTCATGATGACCTTCTAGACTAAAGGACGCGTTATACGACGTTGCACACCGACGTGGTGCGATCTGAACGAACTGCGAATGAGATGGACGTATTGAAGACTGTTTATGAACGAAGTAGCTAATTATTTTAGACATATTTCCCGACCACAATCAGATTGAGCCCCTTTTACGACGTTTTCGTAGGACTGGCAAGAACGGGTAAGAACTAGTTTGGTGTGATACGGGGTTACCATGTTCTGCATAAAATGGAATTAAATATTAATGCATTGGCATACAGTATTCGTTTCCTCATTTTCTTGAGATTATTCTTAATATTAATGCACGCACATGAGACTACAATTTCTAGTTAATTCTGTCCCCGAGACAACTTATCCTTAATTTTCTAGTTGTACATTTCCAAGTGGACTATATTTTCTGGTTGCCTCTGTCCCCAAGACAACTTGTCCTTATTTTTCTAGTTGAATAATTCTCGGGGGACTATGTCGTCTACTTACATTTGTCTAGAGACTACACTGGGCAGAATAGTCCCATTTGTAGTATATACATCTTAAACATTAGAATAAGTGAGTATATTGTCACGCATAATTGCACTCGATTCACTGACTTGAATCATTACTAGAATCATTTAATTTTGTTTGTGACAGAACTGCAGAATAAAATTATATTATTCTTAAATATATAAGCACTTGGGCCAAAGGGAAAGGACCAAAAGTTGTAATGGAACTTAGCAAGAAAAAGCAAACTCTAAGTGCATACCAGTCAAGAAAAACAAGCCCCATATAGTCCAAAACCATGATCTAACGTGAAAAGAAACAATGTCTAACACCCCAGTCTTATACTTTTGCAGTCACATTTCCCACGGCAGCCGCACGGCGAATTTTAAATTTCTGTTGATAAATGATACTTATTTTCATTTTATACACATCAGGACAATTTATAAATGTTATTCATAGTGCTAGGATGTAATATCAAATGAAAAGTGATCGTGAAACATTGACAAATAATGATTCAATCTTGTTGAGCCAGTTGATTTCTACGCGGACCTCAGAAATGAACAAATATTATAACTCCGAGTTATAATTTCTACGGCGACCCTGCGGCCTGTAAAAAAACTGGATACGCCGTACGGAGGCTGCAAGGCGAGCGTAGTTTTCCTACGCTCGCCGCAGAAATACACTGATTTAATTGATCTGCGGTCGACGCACGCCCTCCGTACGATAAATGTGACTGGGGTGTTATACCCCCTTTTCCCCCACCATTCAAGAACCAATATCACAATCCAAGACCAGAAGACCAAGGGACATTTCATTCATACTGAAGTCATTACAATACATGTTGAAGAAAAAATTAGAAATTGATAGCCAATTGATAGCCAATACTCATAATCTCAAAAATAGTTGTAGATACAAGTACTCATACAAGATAAATCATTCAGTCGCAAATGATGTGGGATAGATAAAATCCAGTCTCCAAGTCCATAGGCGTTTCAAAGGGTCAACATCCATTCACAAAAGCCGTCGCCATAATCCATAAAACACAATAATTCACAATGGTCATCAGGAAAAAACTATGGCTGGTTTCGATCCCTATTTCTCAACCATCAATGCCATAGCCGGGATCCACCTCAAAAGGTGCCAAGTGAAAATATTGTGAGTTCATTGCCAATGTCTTAAACAATTCCTACATCCTTCAGCATCTCAAGTGGTAAAACGTGAAACTTCGAAATTAATGATTTGTATTTTTCAGCTAGATTCACTTGGTTTTGGATGACATAGCAGTATTACATGAACGGTCTTGTATGTCAATGAACTATTAATTAAACAGACACTTCATTTATATACATGTCCATGGACATGTATAACCAGAAAATATGGTCCGGTGTGACTAGTTAGAGGCCATCATTTGCTATTTAAAGTCCGCCCCGGACACCCAGTTCAAGCAAACGGACTAAAATATCAAAGGAAATATAGTCCATCGACCTTGTCATTCTAGATAATATAGTCCAGGACAATATTTTCCAGGACTTCTAAGGGACCATATTTAGCACGGTCTATATAAACGTTGATACCGGTAGTCTTTATCAAAATGGTCATGTCCATGTGATATAAACATGTGATAATAAGCAATGTTATGTAAGTAATATTTATTTACTTTTCAGATTCTCTTCATCACAATGATCATGGCCATGTGACATAAACATCGTCAAATAAGCATTGTTATGTTAGAAGTATTTATTTACTTTCAGATTCTCTTCATCACAATGATCATGTCCATTTGACATAAACATGTACAAATAAGCAATGTTATGTTAGTAGTGTTCATTTAGTTTTCAGATTCTTTTCATCACAATGATCATGTCCATGTGACATAAATATTCGCAAATAAGCAAAGTTATGTTAGTAGTGTTTATTTAGTTTTCAGATTCTTTTCATCACAATGATCATGTCCATGTGACATAAATATGTGCAAATAAGCAAAGTTATGTAATTAGTTTTTATTTACTTTTCATATTCTCTCTATCACAATGATCATGCCCATGAGACATAAACATGTGCAAATAAGCAATGTTATGTTAGTAGTGTTTACTTACATTTCAGATTCTCTCTATCACAATGATCAAGCCCATGTGACATAAATATTCGCAAATAAGCAAAGTTATGTTAGTAGTATTTATTTACTTTCAGATTCTCTTCATCACAATGATCATGCCCATGTGACATAAATATTCGCAAATAAGCAAAGTTATGTAATTAGTTTTTATTTACTTTTCAGATTCTTTCTATCACAATGATCATGCCATGAGACATAAAAATCGTCAAATAAGCAATGTTATGCAAGTTGTATTCATTTACTTTTCAGATTCTCTTCATCACCATGATCATGCCCATGTGACATCAACATGTGCAAAAAAGCAATGATATGTTAGTAGCATTTATTTACTTTCAGATTCTCTTCATCACAATGATCATGCCCATGTGACATAAATATTCGCAAATAAGCAAAGTTATGTAATTAGTTTTTATTTACTTTTCAGATTCTCTCTATCACAATGATCAAGCCCATGTAACATAAACATCGTCAAATAAGCAATGTTATGTCTAACTTAGTAGTATTTATTTACTTTTCAGATTCTCTTCGATTCATCACAATGATCATACCCATATGACATAAACATCGTAAAATTTTACGAGATTTATTTTTTATTTTTGACAAAAACGCTGTTTGACAAAGGTATACACTAGCAGTTTGTATTTTGAATAAGGGAGTTTCTAAATGATTTTGAAATCTCGCTAATTCTCGTTTTTCACGAGATTTTAAGAGATTTGCACATTTTACCTCCAATGACTTACATTTCTTT